ATTCTGATTGATATCCAGTGGGGAGAAGAGAAACAGGGAGGAGGAGGTGGGGTTGATGATGGTGGGGGGGGTGAGATGAGCAGGTAAACGACAGGGGAGATCGGAGGTGTAGTCGGACTGTGCAGAGAATGACAGAGGAGGAGAGAGAGTTTATTTAATTGCGTGTTTTTCAGTCACATGTCTGCAGCCTTTTCCACTGTTTTTATCCAGTTTCTGCTTAAATGACTCGAGCCTCGCGACAGAGACGGTGCAAATGGAGAATAAATGTCTTGACTCGAGGGGCGAGGAGGTGGAGGAGGAACGACAGAGGTGGGAAAAGAGGAGGAACTGTGTTGACAGGAGCGGAAGGTAGAGGAAGGGATGGAAGACGGAGAACAAAATGTCACATTCTTCTTTCCCAAATCTTCTGTTTCTAACAACCTTAAAGGTCCAGTGTGTAACAGTGAGGAGGATCTATTGGCACAATGCAATATAATATTCATAGGTACGTTTTCATTCAGTATAATCACCTGAGTATTGGTATTTTTGTTGAACATGTTTCTACAGTGGCCCAGAATGGACACTGACTCTAGATAAGGTGTTTTTTAAAAGTTATTTTAAGAAGGGATTTAATGGAGATCACCAAAGTCTCCCCACCTGATTTCCTCGGGCAGATTGTTTAACTATAATTATAGACACCTTCAGACACTGGAAACTTTCCAGCTCCTCCTGAAAGAATGATCTTTCGTTTCCTTAGGATGCGTTTGGATTATTCTTCCTCACGAAAATGTAACCCTCCTTTCTGCTGATGCTGTGAAGGACTGTGTCTGTCAGTTAATCTGTTAAAGCTGTTGTAATGCTTTGTTAAGTGCAGATTGATTAGAAAAGTCTGCACTGATTTACACTGCAATAATAACAGAACAGATTTCAGTAAACATGACATCTGTTGTGACATTTCCGGCCCTCCGCCCCTTATCTCGCTTCACATCCTCTGTTGACGGTAACCATTTTGGAGAGGTTTTTATTTTTCTTGGGAAGAAACCCATCCACTATTGTCACTTGTTCTCACTTTACAGGTGAACTTCAGGTTAGCATTGGTACTGTTACTCCTAACAGATTAAGAAAAGAAGTAAACCAACCAAACTTAATCCTCCCAAAAAATTTGAGTCACTCATTCCCATGAATTAAACTCAACCCATCGTTGAATTGTTGAAGTAATAACTACAAAACTACAAAAAATAGTTCTGAGTGCACTTCAATTTGTGCATTTAATTCCATTTTGTTCCACTGACTCATTTTCTTTAAGTTGACTTTATATCATTACAAAACGTAAACCCAAAGCCCCAAAATGAATTACCTACAGTTTGATAATTAATTGCAAATAGTTTTTTATCACACGTCAGCTCTTAATGACGTGACAATTTGCTTTAGTGGGGGAAAAAAAGTAAATAAACTTTCACTTCACGAAGTGGTAACATTTGTGTAAAGTTACTTCATTCAGATTAATAACACATTTTAAATAGGATTCCTCATCTGGTTTTACAGTTGAACTGTATTATTTTATATTTTATCACTTTTTTCTAGATGTTTCATCAATTTAAACTACAGTTTAAACTCATACAAATAAAATAAGAACACACTTGTAGTACTGAGATGATAATACCAGCAGTGGTGCCAAGCCAATTGGAGTTTAAGACCACTGACCTTCTGTATCTCCAATGACTATCTGTTCTCTGAAAGTGGATTTTTGTACCAATTAAAAAAGGAAAAGTAATAATCATAGAACATTACAGCATGCCAAGGACGATGGCAGTAACAGGAGCCTTAATGCACATAAAATAAAGCATTTGACACAAAAATGGATGACGTTTTAGAGCTCCCCCTAAATGTTTCTAAGTAGGCTTCTAGGGAAGTTCATGTCCTTTTTAACTCCCCCTAATTCGAACCATGCTTATACTGCATTCATGAGACTAGTAAATCAAGTAAAACAGACATGAAAACATTCCTGTAAAAGCAAGAGAACTGATACTGAGACGTTTAAGATACTTGATGCTGCTGTTGTTCTACCCACAAACAACTCTCTCTCTCTCTCTCTCTCACACACACACACACACACACACACACACACACACACACACACACACACAGTGTCCAATCAGAGTGTGTGTGTGTGTGTGTGTGGTAGGCTGGTGTAATGAGGTGGAGACAGTTGTCCATTACTTCCTGAGTTGATGGGCTCCTCGCTGCAGTGCGCCCACAGCTGGAGGAGAGGCGGAGGAGGAGGCAGCAACGAGGAGAGAATACCAGACACATGCAGACACATTCACCATCTGCGTGTTTGTGTCTTTGACTCTAATAATAAACTTTATTTATACAGCAGTTTTCAAAAGAAGTTATTAATTGCTTTTATACGGAAAAACACATTAAAAAAGTTGAACTATTTATGACAAATACTTCACCTGGATAGAACTTTTAATGGGATAATGCTTCTTGTAATAGATTTTTAAAGGGCTTTCCAGCAGAGTTTTTATTTAGCTGACTTGAGTTCTTCAGGAAGCTCATTACAGGGAGGCCAATGGTAAAAGCCTGAACCCAGCAGTAAAATTAGTCCTCAGAAAAGCTGAGAAAAGTAAAAACAACTGTATTCAATTCAAGCGGCATTCAAACTTACAGAGAGTTTGTCTTTAAAAATGAAAACAGTCTTTACATGTAAGAGTTTAAAGGTCCAGTGTGTAACATTGAGGAGGATCTATCGGCAGAAATGGAATATAATATTCATAGGTATGTTTTCATTAGTGTATAATCAGCTGAATGTAAGAATGTTTCTTGGTCTTTACTACTAGCATGTTTTGTATTTGGAACTACAACATTACTGCAGAGTTTAATATATTTTAACTAGATAACTAGAAACCCCACCTTTTCAGAACTGCTTTTAATGATTTTAATAATGAATTATTGTTGAGTGTAGATATAGCTATAATTTCTTCGTGTGTTGTTTTTTATTACTTTTTCTTTTCCTTTTTAACTCATGTGAAGTGTCTTTGAGTTTCTTGAAAAGTGCTCCATAAATGACATGTATTATTATGATTATTATTATTATTATTGTTTTTTTTATAATAATAATAATAATAATAATAATAACATTTTATATAGCGCTTTAAAAAGGTAAGGTAGGGTGTGAGCAATAGCAGTCAAAAAACAGGTGGAGCAATATAACGGAGAGATGGGGGCTGATTGGGGGAGAGACTTCAAAAGGGAGGGGGCAGCAATGGAGAAGGCCCTGTTGTTCCAAGGTCCGGAGCTTGGACCGGGTCAGAGGGGTGAGGAGGTTGTTGGTGGGGGTCGCTGAGGCAGGAGGGGGGAGGTTGCTCTGTAGGTGATGGGGAGAATGAGCAATGTGGTGTATTTCTGCAGTATCCTCTGAGGTCAGGTCTCAGGAAGTCTTTTTGGAGCAAAGTAAGACTAAACCAAACTTTTTCTATATATTTGCTGTTTCCATCCAGTCTGTTACATTAGGTCTAGTGGTGTATGAAGGTGCACATCGCCATCTAGAGTTTAAAAGGTGTAACTTCATCCTAAAAGCTTCTTTTCACACTTCTAGCTTTTGCTGATTGTGGCTGTGACTCTGGTGGTAGAGCTGGTAGTCTTGTAATTGGAGGGTGCTTCTTGCAAGAGACTGAACCCCAAATTCCTCCCACTGCCTGTGCCGTCTTTGTGAGTGTGTGTATAGGTGAGCATCATTTTGAGCACTTTGGATACTGTATCAGGTTGGCACCTTGCATGGCAGCCTCTACCAGCAGTGTATGTAAAAAAAAAATGCACTGTATAAATAAAGGTCAAGTAACATTATCACATTGTGTTTTTCCATCCCATAAGAGCAGGAGTACATGGCTTTATAGGGTTGCAAAATAAGCTTTCATAATTATATCTGGATGAAACAAAGTGGAAGAAGGTTCAATGATACTGAACACAATGTTTGGTGTAATCCAAATACTGCACACATCAGCAGACACACACCATCACTGTCACGAAACCGGGTGGCGGCAGCTTCATGCTACAAGGTTGTTTCTGTGTGAGGGTGGAGGGCAACGTGAATACAGGAAAATACTGAGACACACTGGAGCAGAACTTTTGGTGGGATTTGCTGTTCACTCATTGGCCTTTTCCACCAACCAGGAACCGGTTGGGAACCAGCATGTCGAGCAGAAATATACTGATTCAGAACCCGAAAAGTTGGTTCAAAGTGGGCATGTCAAATTCTACAGGTGGTTGTGCTTCGTGCAATGCCTTCTGTTTACATCCGATTACAGTGGCTCCAGATGGGTGGACATTGGTTCGCTATATCGCACCAAGGTTCCCAGAATCTTGTTATTTGCTATGGTTTCGGCTCTTGTGTCATTTTTCTTAAGGAAACAATAAAAAGCAAAAACTTCTTCCATCACTGCACACACAAAAGAAAAGAAAAAGAAAAAGCAGTGTGTGCAAACCTGATGAAAGACCCATTCACTCAGAGGCCCTCTCTGCTGCCAAAGGTGTCTCTACTAAATATTGGCTCGAGGGTGGAACATATTTCACTTTGACATTAAAGTCTTTCTGTTGCTTAGTGCTAAAAATCAGTCCCTCCACAATTTCAGTCTTTTTTTGGGATTGTTGCGACCTAAAATGGCCAATTTCACAACAGCTTTTCTAAAACAAATGTGTTTCAAGCATCTATTTCCCAGTGAAATTGCAGGAGTAAGTGAGAACTGCAAATGTATTATTTTGTTTGTGTAATTTATTAAACATTGAAGGCAACTTGTTCCAGTGAGAATCAAATTGCACTGTGTGGAGGGTAAATGTGAGACGTCTGCATCTTCATGGGTGAGTTTGGTGATATATGGTTCAACGTTTGTGCAGGGATTTGGTTGAATTGGCGTTAATTGTTGTGCAACTTCCCGGAACGGCTGGAAAATCCCAATAACATCCACCGTGAGTCAGTGTTGTAAAACAGTACAGTCAGTATCTACAGAGGGAGAGCACACTTAATGAAGATCGTCTTTATTTCTCGTGGTTCATTCTCTCTTGAACAAAATAAAAACAATTGAAATGCTCATCAAACCAAAATAACATATTCAAACATTTGTAGGTGTTTTCTTTGAAAATATTAAAGATTCCTCTTCCACAGATGTTGAACAACAGCTTCATATCAAAGAAAACTAATCCAGGGTGCCAAGTAGTTGGACATTTACAATTTATATACGTATATATAAAAAAACCAAAGAGAGAGTGCAGGATTTAAATATCTACAGAACAGAAGCAAATGTTGAGCAGTTTAAAAGGGAGATTCTTATCACAAATGATTTCTCTCTGGTGTGTAATCGCTGTTCTGTTGCACTTCGATGGACTCACAACCAAATGTAACAACACAAATACACACAGTGAGCCGTTGTGGATTAACAGCGACACCGGACTCCACAAATGCCACACAAGGTATTGCAAAATGAATATTAACAACCAAACCAGAATACTATACAGTTCCTAGCAATGAGTGAAAAGTTAAAAAACAATCAACAACACACAGCCGCAAAAATGTTACAGTACAAAATGATTTATGAGTGTTTCCCTGAAATGGAATAATCCAGAGTGATCATCTCATTACGGGTCAAACCATCAGAGATTCTGAGACTACAGTGGGTTTAATGGCACGCCCTGCTTGGCCAGACGTGTAGCAGTGGAAATTCAGTATTAGTTCACCTGGATTCTTCCTAAATTAGAGACAGAATATACAACGAGGTTCTTCTTCCTATCAGATATCTGTGTCTTGTCCTTTAAAGCAACACAAAATGGTACATTTTATATTCAGGATGACAAAACAAAGCCTGTGAGAAGTCCAGATGTTACTGGGGGGAATCATACTTTCACTGCCAGGGTATATGATCTATATGATCTCACTTGAACAAAGCATACGAAGCATTACATACAAGTGAATGTAATAAATTATAAAGGATTCGTTGTACATGTAACTTTAGAATGAGAACCATTCCACAAACTCCTTCAGAGGGATTACTTGTGCTAAAAAGTGAGATATAAATAAAACAGCTCGTATGAACAAACTTTCCATTGGTTGTGGAGTGTTGAAATCTTGAGCACCATCTTGAAACACTGTATATGGCAGGTACTTGCTATGTTCTTTATATACAGGAAAAATAAAAGTCCCTTCACCATCGTGTGACCGGCGATACCTCGCCTTTTTGCTGCCTGAAATATGAACCAGCTGTCAATCAGTCACCGGGATTAAGGGGTTTTTATTTGAGCTAGGTGAGTCAGACCTTCAAGGTTTATGCAGCTTGTCACAGTAACCGACCCCAACAGTGTGGGCCCTATAAAAGGCAAACTGGAAGTACAGAACATGCTTTTTTAATGGGATGGGTGAGAAATGCTGTAAATCATCAAAGGAAAATAATGACAACAGAAGGATGTTGGAAAATATGCTTAAAATGACCGGTCATTACAATACTCCATACCATCTTCCATCAGTCCATCCACAATAAAGTGAGAATATCAAACTTTAACTAACATCTTTCCATCTAACTGCATGTGGTTTACTACTGGGTGTTGTTTTTTTTGTTGTTTTTTTAGAAAGTTCATTACAGATATCCTAAGTAGGACCAGGAGTCTTCTGTTCAGGAGTTGGGTGAAAACTTCCAAACACAGCTGGCAACGTGTGTGTCATTTCCTAGTGTCGGGGGCCGCTCGGTCGTAGAAGAGGGGCACCTGATCAGAGGTAGAGAGGACAAAAACAAAAACACACAGTGAGGTTACACTGAAGATAATCTGCTGTTCATACTCAGCATTTTGTTTCTATATTAACGCTGGATTAAACATCGATTTAAAGAAAGTATCCGCGACCCACCTGGAGAAGAGAGAAGTGGAGGGCGGGAACTCTTTAGAGATGGCGGGGCTCCTCTGTTCCCATGAGGGCCTCTGGAGCCAGAGTGGTATGGAGGAGCATGGTGGAGTAGGGGTCCACGAGGCAAAGTGGGGGCGCCGTAGGGGATGTGCGAGGACAGGGGGCCTCGCTGAGATGGGGCCCCTAATGATGGGCCGGGAGGTCGATGCAAGGACAGCAGCGGCGGGGGTTTGGTTTTGGGGTAAGAGCCTAAAAGGAGAGACGCGTCTGAATGAAAAACACAGGACAATGTGACCGGATGAAAGGACCACACTGACATACATGAGGAGGAACAGCTCTCACTATAATGCAGTAAATGACTGCTAACACTGCAACAAACTGAACCACACACGCTTTAACATTTACTGCAAGGCTGTCGTTTTGGACTTCAATGAGCAGTAGATGTACCTAAAGTACTGATCAGACCTCCTGACCCAGTACGAACCTCGCAGACCTCTTAGGTTGGCTGGTTCTGGATTACTGGATGTTCCCAGAGTCAAAACTAGGAGTGGAGCTGCTCCTTTTAGTTTCTATGCTTCAGAGAAATTTCAATTTACGATGCAAAAATGATAATTCCCACTCTAATCATGAATAGTATCGCAATCACAATATCTGTCAAAATAATCACAATATGAGGTTTTTATACCATGTGTAGCCCTAGACAAAAGTTAACAACGTCGGACAGGCAAGACGCTCTGCTTCTGAAACACCCTCAGAGGGATTTGAAGGTGCGTAGATCATGGAGCCAAACACAATAAAGCCTGGTGGAATTTCGGTGTAAAAGTGACTCGTTAAAAACTAAAAATGACTTGCCCACGATTTACAGAACAGTCTGAAAAGTGTAACCTGAGATGGGATACCTTGCAGACAATTCAGGGAGGACAAAGTTAGATCTTTTAAAATATGGTCGCCCGGTATATGGTTCCTGCACCATTGAACTTTTAAGAACATTTAAATAGTGAAATACGAAGACGACTCCTCTCTCTCTCTCTCTCTCTCTCTCTCTCTCGGTCTAACCTGGTGAAGGCAAGAGAGGAGAGGGTGAAGAAGCATTGTGGTCCATCATGGACCCCCCTGCTCCGGGTCCAGACTGCAGTTGAGGAGGCCCAGGTGGAGTAGGGAGCAGAGGAGGTGGTTTCCCCAGTCCTGGAGGTAACATGTTACCCCTCTCCCCCTCCGTGTTGGATACTTGAGAGAAAGAAAAGAAAAAATAAAGAAGCACAATAGACAGGACAGGCAGGTAAAGGTGCAGTCAGTAGCACTGACACAGCACCGGTGCTACAGTTTAATCAGTGTGCCACCTTGAAGGTGCTCCTGCCGGGAACGGACGTATTCTGAGATGGTTTCCAGCTCCTCGGAGTAGAGATGGACCCCCTCAGCTAACAGCATGAGGAGCGGACGGGTTTCAGAGGGAACAGTGTGGCGCTCGATCTTTTCTCGATCCAGAAAGTCATCCAGCAGCTGCGACGCCTGCGCTGCGATGTCCGCGGGGTCCCTCGGAGGGCGCTCTTTGACGAGGCCGCGGCTGTACTCGGCTGCAACAAAGTCCATTGCCTGGTCTTTGGGCATGTTGCGATGGACTGGGAGGGAAATGGGAATGTTAATGGTGAGGGGTCAGGGGACTGAAGGGGAAGAAAGAGGTGCGCCAGGACAAAACCCGTAAAATTGGCAGTAAGATAAACTGAAATCGATTTTGTTTGAATGTGATTCAGCTGATAAATTGGCACTTTTGATTATGTACTTTTGAATGTGGGCTGTGGTTTGTTGGAAGGGGAGGGGGGGGCAACAGGGGACAAGCGATTTGTGTAAAATATGTGCATTTTTCAGTAACTTTATGTTCCTGGACATAAAATAAAGCTTTTTTTGTGTGCATTCAGAAGATGAGATACCAAAGCACATTAAATGATCTGTTATCTGATTTGTGTATTTAAAATTAATCAATTCCTTTATTATATTTGCTCTAAGGTTATTAAATTGATTGTATTTTTATTTTGGTTGTGTATGTCAGGCTAAAAATGTGTTTAGAGCATCATTCACACCCACCACTGGGTTCCTTTTTTGTGAGCAACACAGAGTAGCACCATCCTAGAACAATTACATCACTTTGCAGTTTTGATGTTCTTGATGGTCCGTTTTAAATTTTTGCAATTTGTATTATGCAGATCTGTTTGTGCAATCAGTTTTTGTGCAGCATCTAAATCACAAAGGTTAATGCTTAATGGTGTATGCATACATTTATAGTATAGTGACGTGTATTTTCGCATTTTTCAGTATAGATATAGAAATAACTGTAGTAATGAAACAGTTCTGCGTGCTATTTGTTGATTTGTTTTAATCAGTTGCATGAAGATCATTGCAGGTATTGACAATCTTTATTTCGCAATATGAACTACACAAATGTTTCATATTGAGTCAACCTAAAGAAAAACTACTTTATTACAACTTGGGTTATATTTTCATAGCTCTGTCCATCAGTACAGTTGGTTATGATAACATCCTACTGATCTCAATAACTGCCGAGGTGTGTGAACGCAGCAACATTGCTAAAACCTTTTTATAGTCCCACTGCACAGGAAAACCACGAGTGTGCACTACTAGGGCAAGTACAGATGGTTAAAGTTGAATCGGGAAGTTTGTCTTTAAACTGTAATTCTGTGCAAAAGAAGGTTTATAGTTTACTTTTGTTTTCTCTCCTTTTTCTCTTCACTAACCCAGAAATTTGTTTAAATCTTGTCTGACCATTTCTGATGAGTTTTAGTGATGTAGCCACGTCTACAGATCTCAGCAACTACTTTTGGTGAGTACAATGTTACCATAACCATGAAAGAAAAATTGAACCCAAGTTGTGGTAAACCATTGTCTACCTTTTAAGGAATAATTGTATTCATTTTTGGGAAATATGCTCTGCCACCCTCAAGATCGAGATCACTTGTGTCTGTCGGTCAATATGAAGCTACATCGAGCAGCCGGTTAGCTCAGCATAAAGACTTTAAACAGCTAGCCTGGCTTTGTCAAAATGTTCCACACTGGACCTTTAAAAGTTGCTGAAAGCTTCATATTTATCAGACGGATACTGGAGTGGTATCGATCTTCTCATCTAAGTCTTGGCAAGAAAACAAAATCTGGAGCTATCCCTTTTAATTACATTCATTTTGGGCTTCAGTCACTTTATTAAAGTATGTAAAGTGTGTTCCAGTGGCAGTCAGTGTATGATCTGGCAACAGAGTGCCATTGATGTGGATACTGAATGAATAATGTGCAGATCTGATGGACGTTGATGGATTTTTTAGAATATATATGTACGCGTAAATCGCATTAGACCTATAGTTGAGAAGGGATGAAGGTTTGTGGTTTGGCTAAGCTTGAAGGAATGAGGGGGGGACTTACTTTTGAGGGATTCTGAGAATATGATAACAGTGCAGGAGGACAGAGCTACGTTTGTCTGCTCCACCAGAATACATAACGAGGAGCCTTCTGCTCGGACATCCTGCAGGGCCCGGGTCAGGCCCGATTCCGCCTGAAGGTAGAGCATTTCCACTGACAGGCCACGCTCCTGCAAGCACTGGCTTAGCGATTTGGGGTAATCCCTTTGAGAGGAAGAGAAACACTTTGTTAACTTGACATGTCTATATTAAGTGACTCAGCTGGCATTATAGAGGAAACCTAAATTATATATCTCTCAGAGGAACAGAAGGTTATTTCTTGATTTATAGTGTGCTTTACCAACAAGAACGTAACCGTAAGTCATCATTTCTTTTGTGTGGTGAATTCTGTATGTGTGGATCTTTAGACAGGACCAAGTGTAGCATTATGTGTGCAGATAGAGCCTAGATGTATTTAGTGTTGTGGTAGTATGTGTTTAAGTAATACATCAGTAAATTGTGTTGAGGATAAACATAAAACCTTTATGCAGTTTGCATTTTTGAGAGCACTCTGTTGAATGGTGGTGTTTGATATAGTGTGGATAAATGTGGATATGGGTGGGTTTGGTGGCATTTTACATAACACCTTTCTACGGTAAATGCCATGTTTACACATTAGTCTCCGTGCATCATGGAGCGAGGGCTTCTTCTCAGATTTATACTTTGCTCCAACATTCAACAACCATACAAAAGGGAAATCTGTTAGAAAAGGCAGAGATACCAATTCTGGTTAAAGTAGGAAGTCATGTGACATAGAAGTGGGCAAACCAGTTTGAAAATAATTGGGGGAACAAAAAAAAACAAACAGGAAAATATGGTTAAATATAGAGCACACACATACGCCGATGCCAATCAGTCCGATTAATCGGCCTATCTCTAGTTTGTGTTGCACCAACCGCAAGAATGTTTGAGTAAAAGAGGTTTATGTTGCAGGAGTGGTTCGACTCCACGGTGACACTGAGCCACCATTGGAATTTATTGTTAGTACAAAGCATCTTTTATAGTGTTTACTATCAAAACAGAAACTAATTTGTAACAGTAAGTGGGCTCCAAGCACTACGTCTTTTTTTTTTTAGGAACAAGAAAACAAGGACCTGGGTTTAAAATCCCAGTGAATACATACAGCTCATTCTCTAAAAAGGAATAATGAACAGTAGTTAAGCATGCTATAGCACTGGTAACTTCAAACCTTTTAGTTGTTTAGGTAACACATTCTGGATAGCCTGCTGATAACTAGCGTTGCCATGTTGCAGACACCATAATCAGTAGAAGTACAATTAACACTTCCAAGTTAGTTATTCCAACTGTGTGACAATATCATGAATGCAAACACAGCCGCCATATTAGGCTTCATGTATGAGTATCTTGTGCATGAATTTTGATGTTGTATTGTGTACAGAGTGTAAATGCTTTATGTTCTATAACTCTGTGCTTAGGATGCAACAGTGTTAACATTACAGAGTAGCGTTTGTATAGTCATTTGTTTGTGAGGGCAGATTTTAATGGTGGTTATTTATGAGCATCCACTGTTGGAACATCTGCCGAAATGTTGTGAAAAGATGATGCAGAATATTTCTAAATATCATTAAAATAACATTTGATTTGTGTGTGTGTCACTGGTATGTAACAACAGAAGCCTTTAATGAAATAAAGTAGAAGAGAATGAGTGATCCATGTCGTATTTGATATGTTGATATGTATGTGAATAGAATTTTTATTTTAAATGGTATTTAGATCAGTATTCAACAATTTGACTGAGGCATAAAAAGTAGGAAATTATTCGAAGAGTAATAAACTCTGTGCCAACGAGAACTTGTTCATTCAGGTTTAAACAGAGCGATGGGAAGGTTTTGTTGTGTGTTGTACATTGTTGTGCATCACAATCAAGGGAGGGCCCCATTGTGTCAGGGAAGACATTATTATCATCTCAAACTCAAGTGTTGTTAAGCTTGTATTATTATTGTGTTGCAACAGTGACATGATCCTACATTCAAAGACAACAAGCACTTACATTCAGCAGGGCTTGAAGTCTCTATCCATCATAAGCACCAGTAAAACCATCCAGTCATTCCAGCCAAGTATCAACAGATTGAGGGTGTTGCTGACATAAAAGCTTGAGCTGAATGTTCTTGGCTGCCCCCGAAAAAATGGACAATTAAAATGACATCCATCAGTCTTGTCTCACTGACTGGCAGCCAAGTATAAACCATCAAAACTCTGCATGTAAGAGTCGCCCAGATTTCTGCTCGTGGTTCAGATCGCTGTTTGAATGTACTCACAGGCACTGGCTGGTGACGGAGAGGACCACGCAGTCGGCCGGCTTCCTCTCCTCCTGCACCTGCCTGTAGAACTTCTGATACAGGGCTTTACGTCTGTCTGCTGGAGTGCAGCCGTCTGGCTTGGCTGAGTGGGCTTGAGGATGGTGGAGGAGTTGGGAGAGAATGACGGGGGAGGTAAAGGGAGAGACAGTGGAAGGGAATTTAAACCAATGGGATACCAGTTTTTGGTGGGCTTTTATAATGAGGAGGTTTCTGAGCACCTCGTTTTAACAGAAGTCAAACACTGACTGGTGCAGTTACTTAAGTTACGTGTCCACAGGCTCAGTCATTTCCACGCTTTCCTTTCCTATTGTCTATATTAGCAGCAGTGCAATGCATTCTGGTAGAGTCGCGGCACGTTGCCCGCTCCTTATTAGCATAAAACAAAGGTCTACGCCGCTTAATGCACATCAAGGGCGTCGAGCACGCAACTCTATGCTTCTAGAAACTCACAAAAATCATTTAAACGAACCGGTGTGGATAAAAAAAGGAGACAGATTCGGCAACTGCGTGGCATATTTCTCACGTTCAGTAACACGTTTCAGTAACCTATTTTTATAATATAAAAGAAAGTTTCCAAAATGAGTCGCCATGAAATATCGGAGCAGAGAGCGTTTGTCCAAACCGGTGCAGCCTGAAGTGTTTGTGATGGAGAGTGTACGCTACCCATCGAGGCAAACCCCCCCATGGACACGAACCATTACTGTGTACTGTGTGTGCAACATAAAGAAAAAGTCTCACCATTGGGCTGATGCTTGTAGCCCTCATACTTCACACTTGGCTTCGCAGTGTATGTTTGCATTTGCTCCAGTTCTTCATAACTGAAAGAAAAGAGGTGAAACAGGAGCATCTTTCAATGTGACACTATGATGAGGGATAAGCCTTCTGTTCGCCACGTCATTATACTTCATATAAAGACTGAAAGAGTTTCTGAAAGGAGGTATCAGTTTCTTTCTAGCCCCCACAGTGACGTATTCTTCAGAATGCACTGCAGGGTTTTTACGTTGCATTTTCGTGGCTGATTATTTGGTCAACACACAAAACAATCGCCAATACTGCATTTTAGACAGTATCGGAGGAATTTATGACACTGGTTTTGGTCTAGGACTCTAGGACAGTTGACATTTGTGATAAACGACTAAATAACTATCCTAAATTTAACCTACGACGACAACATAAAACTACATTTTTATTCAGAAACATTAACTAAAAACAAAGCAAACATTCCAGCATGTTAACCCACCGCCAGCTAACAGCAAAAAAACAAAACCAACAACCAAACCTTCCACAAATGACAACTAGAAATACAGATGTACTGACACACTAAAGCACAAGACACATATCTAAACAAAGACAGAAACATCTGGACCCACTGTATCTTTCATCCAGTCCATAAACCCAATAGTTTACAATCCATATAGAAGAGAGAGAGTCAGAGGAATTTATCTATCACTTACTTTTCTCCTCCTATCCCATGCTTTAGAAATATAAAATACATTATCACAAAGGTATTCTATTAAAGCTTCATTCTCAATACTTTTAAGACTTTTTTTAAACAATATTTGTTATAATTGATTAAATATATAAAAAGGGACAATATTCACAGATTCTACCTGTTTCAATGTGCAGTGGTAATAAACCAAATCTCAGCTGTGCACAGACTGATCTTTGACTTTTAGGGCAAATTACACCCAATATATTTATCACAGGAAAGATTACAATCTTCCTTAAATAAACATCAAGCTTCCCAACCAATCACGTAGTCATGTGTAGGGTGGTGGGGGAGGTGGGGGATGTATATGTATGAATATAGTACTGTATAAGTATGCCGGGAAGTCCTTACTGCTCTCAACAAAGTTCAACAAAATGTACCACATGGTTTCTCTTTGCGGTCTTTTAAAGCTGCAGTAGATATCTTCTATAAGAAATAACATTTTACTATGTCCTGACAGAAACATCTACTATATTCAAGCCCCCCCAAACCCAAAAAGTTGGACCTCGACTATCTTTCCCTGGTTCTGATTTGTTGTTTGTAGTCCAGGCCCGCTGGAGGAGCCAGATCTTTTTCACAGAACGTTACAGCAAATGCGACAAAAAGTTATTTTTATTTAAGTTACCTATTGAAGCTTTAACATGTTTTATGTCTGTTACATTAAAAAAAAAAAAGGTCCTTCTGGGGGGACGGGCACTGGAAAGGATCTGAACTCATACATGCTGTGATACATTGGGAGGGAGAGATATCGTAGGTCATTGACAATAACAATGTGCAATATCATTCCACATTCACTGTGCAACTGCTGCTGCTACTGTTTGTGTTATCTGCTGTTTGTGGATTCCTACTGTTGTACATAGTGTTTGTATTTATTATTTATCCAACTCTTACTGTGTTTTATTAAACTGTTTTATTCTAAATAAAGGAATATCTTATCTTCTAACTGTAAAGCAATGTCTCTATGTGACATTACTCTCAGTGAGCCGGTACATGGAGCCGGTACATGGAGCCGGTACCTGTCCAGGGCATCCTTCAGCTCCTCGGTCCTCTCCTCCCGGGGGGGGTAGGGCGCTGCTCTCCGGAACAGCCGCAGCTGTTGAGCACTGCACAAACACACAACGTGTCAACATGAGCCTGAACACAACATGAGCCTGAACACAACATGAGCCTGAACACAACATGAGCCTGAACACAACATGAGCCTGAACACAACACAGCTGATGTTACACGCGTCTAAACGGTGGGGAGGTTTCTTGTTCTTGTTGTTGTTGTTGTTGTTGTTGTTGTTGTTGTTTCTGCTATGGCTGCTACTTAGCATATTAGCTGCTGATGCTACACTTGCTCCAGGCTCACCTGCCGTTGGGGTTAGCTTGCGACCGCCGGGCTGCTCCTGCTGATTTCACCCAGGAAGACATTTTATTGTCCTCCTCCTCCTCCGAAGGGAACTCTGAAGCTTTTAATCACAGATGGAGAAACAGAACAACACCGTTTCCTAATGTTGCTCCACCAGTTGGAGGAGAAGAAGAAGAAGAAGAAGGAGGAGGAGGAGGAGGAGGAGGAGAAGGAGGAGGAAGAGGAGGAGTTTTTCTTATGCGAGGTTCTTCTTCTTCTTGAGGTTTATTTCCGGTTGGAAAACAACGAATTGGTGCGTTACCGCCACCTCGTGGTGTGGAGCGGTGTCGCCAACAAAAACAAGCCCAATATAATATAATATAATATAATATAATATAATATAAAATAATATAATATAATATAATATAATATAATATAATATATAAAAAATATAATATAATATAATATAAAATATAATATAAAATAATATAATATAATATAAAATATAATATAATATAATATAATAAAAAAATATAATAAATATAAAAATAATATAAAAATATAATATAATATAAAAATAAAATAATATAATAAATAAATATAATAAATATATAAAATAATAAAAAATAATAAAAAAATAAATATAATATAAAATATAATATAATATAATATAATGTATAAAATAATATAATATAATATATAAAATAATATAATATAATATAAAATAATATAATATAATATAATGTATAAAATAATATAATATAATATAATATATAAAATAATATAATATAATATATAAAATAATATAATATAAAATAATATAATATAATATAAAATATAATATAATATAATATAATATAATATACTATAAAATAATATAATATAATATAAAATATAATATAATATATAAAATAATATAATATAAAATAATATAATATAATATAAAATATAATATAATATAATATAACCTGGTCTCAATGTAAACACATATCAAAATGAAACCAGTGTTAGTTTAAAAAGCAAAAAGAGAATGTATTTCTATTAGCTTTGGTGGTTACCCTTGTATTAGAGGGGGGTGCTGAAATCTTGGAAGACATTAGATTGAATGCAAATCTCCATTGATAAATAAATATCAGTCTAAAATAAAAGTTGTGTTTAAATTTAATTAGAAACAACCAAGCTATAATCTACTTGGTTGTAAAGGTAAAGTTCAAACTTCGACTATGTTTGAATGGTCAGAATAACACAACTATAATGAAATGTAAGCCTAACTACTAGAACTGTACTGCAGTTAATAATCAGCATTGACTCATGTGAACACATAAACATCCTTTATAAATAATACAAACGGTTATTTACACTTAAATAAAGTGTAAATGAAGGCATGGTGGCTCAGTGGTTAGCACAATGTTTTCTTTACCTTAGAATGAGCTGTTATTTATCTACAGATAGGTCTTCTTCCACAGAGGGCGCCTAGTTGAACCTTCATGTTTCTTCTTTTTCTATTTGGTGCTATCTGCCCTACTCTGACGGTGACTTCCAGTGTCCCTGAACCCAGGGATGTGTGGACACGAGAGGACAGCCGAGTATAGCCACGTCTCCCTAACTCCCTCTGGTTCTCCGAGCAGAGTGCCAAGAGGGTTTAAGGCTATAGGGGATACAGAGCCCTGCATGGCTGTGTGACCCACATCAGTTCACAGTTTATATTAAAGCACAGTGAGGCTACAGATGTTTCACAGAGGAGACGATCAATCTGACGGAAACCACAGAATCGTAGAACATTAGGCTTCAAGAGTCCACAGCTGTCACTCAACAGGGATGCTCGGAGTCACCAACCTCCCTCCTTCTGGTTCTCCAGCCCAGAGTTTGAGCTCACTGGTGTGTCTCAGCTTTCCAGTCATTCCCAATTTAAACAATTCCAACATTTTTTATTTACCCCAGTCTGCAGAATCAGACATACTTTTGATTGTTACAGTTGCTCAAGGTGCTCACACGACATTACGCCATGTTAGATTTAGATCCACTCACTACATGAGCACATAGATAAATGCCCATGAACAGCTGTTTTTTTTAGAGGGTTATCTTTTAAATGAGACCAAAACCATGCATATACTGCAAATGGTTGAAGAACAGCTTTTAATTTACTTTGGGTAAATGTTGTTTTTAGGTGTTTTTAGGTCATTTTACAGACGGTAAGAGGTTAAAGAATAGAAACAAAATCTCTAACACAACATATGGATTAGAAAAATTTTATTTATAGGTATATACGTATTAAAAATAAAATAAAAGTAGAATATAATTCAATATATAACAATATAGATAGAAGTAAATGTATGCTACGGTATGTGACCGACAGTGTAACAAATAATAATAATTATAAGTACTGATAATGATAATGTTGAGCTCCTGAAAGATTGCAGTAACAGCTAACAGGATATTATTGACCACCACAGCTCATAAAGCATCCTCAGCAGTGTCCGGCAGATGTTGAAGGACCTCAGCATCCTCAGATAATAGAGCTCTGGCCCTTCCTGTAGAGCTTTATTGTGCAGTTTATTGTCCATGTGAACTCCCGGGTACTTGTAGTCAGTGTCTACAGTGACCCCCCCCCCGGGAGGAAACAGGGGTCGGTGGAGCCTTGGCCTTCCTCAGATCCACTGCCAGCTCCTTTGTCTTTGTCATGTTGAGCTGCAGATGACTTTCTATCACATAATGTCGAGATTTTAATCTAAGAATTTAGATTTTCTGTCTCAAAATGTCGTCTTTCTATCCCATAAACTTAATATCCTCATTGAGGATTAATAAACTTAATCTTAATCTCTTTATTTTGACTTTATATTTCATAATATTGTCTTTCTGTCTCACAATATCGGCTTTTTTATCTCATAATTTCAACATTATTTAGATTTTCTATCTCATAAAATGAATTTCCTCAATCAGGATTAATAAAATGAATCTTAATGTCTTTATTTTGACTTTCTATCTCATAATTTTGACTTTATATTTAACAATCTTTACTTTTCAATCACATAAATTTGACTTTCTATCTCAAAATGTCGACACAATTTCAACTTTCTATCACATAATGTCGAGTTTTTATATAATAATTTAGATTGTCTATCTCATCAAATTAATTTCCTCAATCAGGATTAATAAAATTAATCTTAATCTCTTTATTTTGACTTTATATGTCACAGAATTGGACTTTTAATCACACAGTTTTAACTTTCTAACACATAATGTCGAGTTTGTATCCAAGAATTTAGATTTTCTGTCTCAAAATGTCGTTTTTCTATCTCATAAAATTAATTTCCTTATTCAGGATTAATAAAGTTAATCTGAATCTCTTTATTTTGACTTTATATCTCATAATTTCGACATTCTGTGTCACAATATCGGCTTTTTTAATCTAATAATTTAGATTTTCTGTCTCAAAATGTCGTCTTTCTATCTCATAAAATTAATTTCCTTATTGAGGATTAATAAAGTTAATCTTAATCTCTTTATTTTGACTTCATATGTCACAAAATTGGACTTTTAATCACACAATTTTAACTTTCTATCGCATAAAGTCAGGTTTTTATCCAAGAATTTAGATTTTCTATCTCATAAAATGAATTTCCTCATTCAGGATTAATAAAATTGATCTTAATCTCTTTATTTTGACTTTCTATCTCATAACTTTGACCTAACATGAACATTTATTATCATGGCTAAGTTTATAGATATTTTAAAATATAGATTTTCATCATGTTTCATATCTCACGGCCGGAAATGGACTTTCCTTTCTTCTCGCGGTTTCGGTTTGACTCGGTTTGACCCGGTTTACCTCGGTTTGACCCGGTTTGACCCGGTTTACCTACTCCTACAGCAAACAACAAACGCGTGATTCATGCTCTCCTCTTTCCCACCATCCATTACCGCACAGGAGCACGGCGAGCGAACGACTCTACGGCGGCCCGCACGGACCAGCTGTCTGTCCGTGTCGCGCGGATAAACTCACGCACTCGTCTCGAGCCGTGAGCGCGCGGCGGCGGCGGTGGTGACAGTCGCCATCTTATTTTGAAAATCAAACAGAACCGGAGCCACAGCGACTTCTTTCCATTGCGGTCCAGTTTGTTGTGAGAACCGAGGCGGGATGAACGTCTGAGTGACTTCCACGGGAGCACGGTGAGGCTTTTAAATATATCCGGTGTTTAACAACCGTCGACCGGTGAACGTGAAACCCCGCGAAGAGCCGTTTTTAATGCGGAGGGACGGTTGTTAGCCACCACCACCGCGGGGGGCGTCTATTTGCTGGAAAGCAGCTGTCATACTGCTCCCAGCCTGAAAAAGTTACAATTCCTACATTTTATTAAACGCTTCTTGTGCGAAGTGTGCCGCGTTTATACGTGTGTGTTTATCCCGTTGTAGCTCGAGTGGATGTTGACATCGGCTGCGTGTAACGTTTGCGCTGCGGGGTCGATTCCCTGGGATTAGCCGGAGCCCGTATAAAGGAGCTAACGAGCTAACCTCCATCCGCGGCCTTCGAGCCCGCGGCCAAAGCATGTGGAGCTAATCACTTCACAGCCTTTTTTAATCGATTAGGTTGTCCCAAAACATTATTGATTGTTTGTTTTAAACCCCGTTATTGATTGTTTTTTTTGCCGATTCACACAAACTCGGGCTTTTAAAACTGTTGCTAACGTCGGCTTCACGTCCAGTGCTAATGTGCTAGCCCCCGTACAGGGAGCTGGTAACACTTCACAAAACAAGCTGATCGATAACGCGAGGTATCGATCACAGGTAGGGTGTGCGGATGCAGGGTGGTGGGTGAACGTGTGGCCGGTTAACGGCGGTGTGTAACCGGATTTAACGGTTAACATCAGCCCGTAAACATGCTCGTTAACTCCCGAGTGTCTGCCAGCGTCATGGCGATGTTAGCTCGCGTAGCTACGTCCTCCTCTTCCTCCCTCCCTCCCTCCTCCCTCCTCCTCCTCCTCCCCGCAGCTTGCGAACCGGAGTTGTTTTTTTAAATCAGGAATTAAGTGAACAGTCTCCTGAAGCAGTGGGGCTCAGACTGTGGCTCCGGGTGTCGGTCCAGTGAGGTGTAGAGAGAGTTGGTTGTAGCTGTCAGGAGGAGCTAACCTCCATTAGCTCGCTCTTTGTTTCGGAGACTTTAACTCTCTGCTTCCCTCTGGTCGTTAAAGAAACGCTGCTTTTAGCTCTTAATGCACTGTACTCTT